GGGTTTAGAAATGCTACTCCCCCATCCTCTGCTAGTGACTAGCCAGCTTCTAGCATGTGGCTGTCACCTCCCCTTTCTCCTGGCCATTTCTGCAGGGTCTACTACTATCTGTGACTTCATCTCCTCACTGCCCTTTTATAGGGACACCAGATAAGAGATTAAGACCAGTCCTAAGTGCAGTGGGCCCTCATCATTTTTATGTGTGTGCATGTATGTTTCTGTGTATAAGTATACAGGTGTGTACAAGTGTATGTAAATGCATGCATGTGTGCAGGTGTGCCCGGAAGCCAGAGGCCAGCCTTGGGTCATCCTCAAGACTGTTATCCACTTTCTTTGAGGCAGGGTCTCTCATTGGCCTGTGCATGGATATCACCAATTAAGCCACTTGTCACTGTCTCCCAGGCTGTGATTGCGAGCATGTATGCTCAGATTTCAAGTAGGTACTGGGGATCAAACTCAGGTCCTCATGATTGCAAGGCAAGCCCATTACCCATTCCTAAGCCTCAGTGTGAGGCTTGTCTTAATTTGTTTCTGCAAAGACTCTTATTCCAAATAACATCACACCTGCAGGTTCCTAAGAGTTGTGATTCCAACGTATTTCAGGGATATCCAGGTGGGCCTGCTATAAAGGCATAAGTAGAGAATTCAAAGTTGACTACGTAGGAACAGGCTATTAAAGGGGAAAAATGTGAGCAAATAAAGAAAGATGTCCCTGGGCCAGATTCTGGAGAGAGGCTCAGGGCTGAGGCTTCAACAAAAACACCTACCTGTTCCAGTGACAGTGGTCACACATCAGATATCCTGCATATAAGATATTTATGTCATGATTCATGACAGTAGCAAAATTACAGTTACGATATAGCAATGAAATGCTGTTTTTATGATTGGGGTCATCACGGCATGAAGGACTATATTAAATTTTGGCAGCACTACAAAGGTTAAGAGCTTTTGTTGTAAAGGGACTTACAGTGAAACTAGTCAACTGCTAGTTCTGGAGATGAGGGTATTCTGCGTGTTCAGAAAGCTAGGCAAGTCCATTGTCACAACTCTGGATGACACGCTATCCCACTCAAGAGCTCACAGCAGCTATTGCCACCAGCACAAGATTGAGCCAGCCAAAATTCTGCTGTAGACAATCTCCAGGTCCTTCCCCATCCTGTAGAACTATTAGGAGTTGACACTTGCTAGGGAGAGCAAATCATTCTTTTTGGAGGGTGTGGCCACGGGTATGTGTTTCTCTTTCTCCAGTGGATGGCCCCTTACCCACGCAAATATGGACAGCACTAACTGGACTTGGTGGATGCTTTAGTTATTTCACTACTGTTGTGATAAAATACCATAACCAAGGCAAGATAAATTTATTTGGGCTTGCAGTCCCAGAGGGTTAGAGTCCGTGCTGGAAAAGAAGAGGCAGCAGGCAGCAGGCAGCAGGCAGCAGCTGGGAGCTCACATCTTGAAATGTATAAGCATGAAGCAGAGAAAGTCCACCGGGAGTGGCTTGAATCTTTAAATTCTAAAAGGCCACCCTCAGTGACATATTCCTTCCTGCACGGCCATGCCTTATAAACCTCCCAAACAGCACCATCAAATGGGGACAAAACATTCAAATCCCTGGATGGCCCCTTACCCACGCAAATATGGACAGCACTAACTGGACTTGGTGGGTGCTTTAGTTATTTTACTACTGTTGTGATAAAACACCATAACCAAGGCAAGAAAAAATTTATTTGGGCTTGCAGTCCCAGAGGGTTAGAGTCCGTGCTGAAGTGGAAGAGGCAGCAGGCAGCACATAACCAAGGCAAGATAAATTTATTTGGGCTTGCAGTCCCAGAGGGTTAGAGTCCGTGCTGGAAAAGAAGAGGCAGCAGGCAGCAGGCAGCAGGCAGCAGCTGGGAGCTCACATCTTGAAATGTATAAGCATGAAGCAGAGAAAGTCCACCGGGAGTGGCTTGAATCTTTAAATTCTAAAAGGCCACCCTCAGTGACATATTCCTTCCTGCACGGCCATGCCTTATAAACCTCCCAAACAGCACCATCAAATGGGGACAAAACATTCAAATCCCTGAAACTATGGTGGGCATCTCATTCAAACCACCATAGTGTGTGTGTCCGTACGTACGTATGTATGTATGTATGTATGCATGTATGTATGTATGCATGTATGTGCGTATGTATGCATGTATGTATGCATGTATGTGTGTATGTATGTGTGTATGTATGTGTGTATGTATGTGTGTATGTATGCATGTATGTGTGTATGTATGTGTGTATGTATGTGTGTATGTGTGTATGTATGTGCGTATGTATGCATGTATGTGTGTATGTATGTATGTATGCATGTATGTGTGTATGTATGTATGTATGCATGTATGTATGTATGTATTCATGTATGTGTGTATGTATGTGTGTATGTATGTGTGTATGTATGTATGTGTGTATGTGTGTGTGTGTATGTATGCATGTATGTGCGTATGTATGTGTGTATGTGCGTATGTATGTGTGTATGTATGTATGTGCGTATGTGTGCATGTATGTGTGTATGTATGTGTGTATGTATGTGTGTATGTATGAAATGGGAGGAGGAACATGTTGGAGAAGACATGTGGGAATTAGAGAGGGAATGAAAGGTAGCACAGTCGTGTTCCATTGTGAACCTGCATGATTGCATGTCTGTAGTATTGGGACTGAGCGAAGGGCAGATGGATTCCTGGTTCATTGGTCAGTCAGTGTAGTCAATCAGTGAACTCCGTGTTAGGTGATGAACTCTGTTTCAAAGTAAGGTAGAGCATGATGGAGGAAGATGTTGACCTTTGACCTCTACACAGACACAGAGAGAGAGAGAGAGGGGGGGCACATGCACACACACTGTAAAGAACTTCACATCACAAAGTGAAACTATTTAGATCTCTTAGGGTGCTGACACAATGCACTTTGTTTTACTCTGTGTTTCCCCAATAAATATTGAACAACAGGTACTTCATGAAGTGCCTGGCATAGGGTGGCAGGAGGACCCGCTCCTAACTCCACACAATGCTTAGTCTAGCGGAAGGAGGCAAGTGATGGGATCAGTCCCTACCAGCTTGGAGAGGGGCAGGCAGAACCCAGGATTCTGCCATTGTCCCCAGTAGGGGGGTCTGACCTGTGAGGGGGACACCCCTGACCTGTGAGGGGGACACCCCCTGACCTGTGAGGGGGACACCCCCTGACCTGTGAGGGGGACACCCCCTGACCTGTGAGGGGGACACCCCCTGACCTGTGAGGGGGACACCCCCTGACCTGTGAGGGGGACACCCCCTGACCTGTGAGGGGGACACCCCCTACACAGGCAGTGACTGCTCTAACTGGAACAGACAGGTGTGGGTGGCAGCTTTTATGTTTGCTCCAACCACTGAGCATTGTTGAAAAGGACACATGGCATTTGTCCCTCTCTGCCCCAGCTTTTTCCCCTGTTCTATCTGCCCGGTGATGTTTGTGGTCTGATGTTTGTTTGTGGTCCACCCTCAGCAGAGAGAATTACTGGCCCAAGTCAGGAGGAGGAGACTACACTCTGGATTCTTGTCTCTCCTGATGCCTGCTCCCCTTGCTCTGATCACATCATTTTTGTGTATCCAACAGACCTTCTCTAGTCCCTGGCCTCCCTCTCACCCTTTCCAGTTACTCCAGTCTTGTGTCCTTACTATACCAGAATGCCGCCCCACCCAAAGCATCCTAGCTTTACAAGAAAAAAGGTTTACTTAATGGATAGTTTGGGGTTTAGTGTGCATAAGCTCAACTCTGGGGATGCCCTCTTGGTTTTAGTCTGTTATGGTGGAGAGTTCCTGCAAGGAAGAGATGAGATTCCACATGGAAGCGGGAAGCCCGTGAGAGACTTGGGGCCTGATGTTCCACCTAGATACAGAGTTCCCAAAGGACCTAAGGACCTGCCACTAAGTCCCAACCCTTAAAAGTTCCACCATCTACGAACACCAGCAACCTAAGGACCAAGCTTCTTACACATGAGCCTTTGTAGGCCATGCTCAGACAGCATTCATATTGGAGCAGGGGATCAGAGCAGCAAACATGCCACCCACTCACATGAGGCTAGGAGCCTGCAGGCTCCAGGAACAACAGTGTTTACCAAGGTGCGGTCAGGTAGAGGAACCAGGAAGACTGAGAGGCAAGACAGGGCTCATCAGGCCATTCCGATACTGTGCGTGCAAGTGAAAGCCCATTGTCTCACATTCTATTTTGGTCACGTTACAGTTATTCAACAACATATCTGCCTCTTCCCTCGAGCCATCTCATTCCCTCCAACTGGTTGAAAAACAAGATGTTGAGTTAAATTAGAACAGAATCGTGAAATTGTTTGCCTGAGTCCCTTCTGGGATGGAGCCAGCTGCGCTTGTTTGGGCTCATCTCAAAGGAGAGAACATCTGAGAAAATACCACATTTGCACGAAGATCTCTTGCCTTTTAAGAGAGACACAGGGAATAAACACAAGGTTATCCGTTTGCTCCCTCTAGCTCTGGAGATTGGCTTCCCACTTTCTGAATAGCTAATACAGTTCATTATTTATGTGATGGGGCCTAGGTAACAAACACAAACAATGCCAGAAGGTTGCTTTTGGGCAGCTACCCTCTACAAGGTTGTGGCGGAGACTTCACAAAGTCTCAGAGTGATTGCAGCAGCCTGGGTTAGAGTTGAATGATGCTGCTCTATCTTGGGAAGATGTTGAGGGGTTGAGACCTCTCCAAGGCATGATGGGACAGGGAATACTGCCCTCTCACCACAGGAGCCAGTGAGAGGAGGAAGAGAGGAATCTATGTTTCCATATTTTTAGGGGAGAGAACTTTGCACCATCATGAATTCTGGAATAGTAGTATATGTAGTTCATCTGAAAACGGGTGCATTAAGTTTATGAAATTCCTCCTCTGTTTCTGATTTAAGAAATGCAGCCCTTGCTTCAGTAAAATCTATACTACACCAGCCAATATTTATTTTGTATTTCTCTATTCATTTAGGCACGTGTGAAGGGATGATTTTAGTTTCAAAGATCTGAGGAAGACTCAGGAATGTCTGAGGCCGTGGCACATGGAAACTTGTGGCAATTATCTCTGGATCTGTAGGAGCCAGGAGACCATGTTTTGTTTACATATGCGCTTCTGCATATGCCGAAAACTAATTCCTACCTGAGGATGGGGACGCATACCAAGACCTCAAGATTGAAGGTGTTACTGGAGCGGCTCCTGCCTGCTCATGTTCACCGCCCCTCCAAAAACTTAGTCCTCCATGTTAAGGTGACAATCAGGAGGAAGAGAAGAAATGTTACTTAAACTTGAACATGCCTGATCACTGCCGTATCAAAACTGTTCTTATATTTTCCATCAGTCACATAGGAAGGATGTAGTGGTTGTAATGAGAACTTTGACCTATAGGCTCATGTATTTGAACTCTTCATCCAGTGGAGGTGATAGAGTCCTTAGAATGTGGAACCTCACTGGAAGAAGTATATCACCGAAGGCAGGCTTTCAGTGTTTAAGTGGGGCCTGGGCCCCACTTCCTGTTCTCTGTCTCTCTTGGCTTCCTATGTGTGGATGGAAATGTGACAGTCCAGACTCCTGCTCCTGCCACCTTGTTTTCCCAGCCCCTTGTCATGCCTTGGGCACTGTGATAACTCACTAAAAAATATGACAGGTATGTTCTTGGCTTTCAAAATTTTTTTGAATAAATATCATATTCCTTTTCATTGAAAGGGAACATATTAGAACAGAAAGGTGGACCAATCAGATGGCTCAGTGGGTATAGGCATTGTGGAGTGTCCACCAGGGAAGACTACTTGAACATGAGTTTGAGCCAATAAAAAATCTTCATTAGCCAACCAGGGACTACACTGCGTGCTCAGGATCTCAATGTAGCCCAGAGTCTTTCTCAGGGTGAGATCTCTAAGTGCAAAAATCATATCCTGGGTTGACATACTTCAGTTAACAAGAACAGTTAGCTAGAAGCAGAACTGCAGAAGCCAAAGACTGAGGTTAGTACATTTAGAGACTTTCCCAGAATGATGGACTTAGATTTTTGTTTTCATTTTTGCAGGTTGTGCTATCTATGTGCTGAGTTTTATGGCCTCAATGGTACAACCATGGTGTTGGTAGTGCTAAGGTCTGGGGGTCCGTTAAAGCATAGCCTGGTAGAAAGAGACAACTGACTCCACAGCATCATCCTCTGACCTCCACTCATGTACCTTGGCGTGCACATATCTACACATAGACACCCACACAAATAAATAAACACAAGAAAAATGTAAGAAAAAGAGAAGATAAAAACTATTTTTTACCTATTGGCTGCTATCATATGAGTGGCACATTGTCAAGGTATTTTCTAGTCTTGAGTCCATTTCTTTCTAACATCCTGTTTGATCACTCACCTTAGTCACTGAACAGTGAGCTTCTATGCAGGCACAGTCAATGGCCGCAGAACACAAACCAAGGCGCCACATAGTTCTAGGCTGCTGTGTCTCCCAGCTGGTTGTATTTTTCTGTTACCATGGTCCTACTTAGAATAATCTTTGTGGCTAGTAAATTGAAAGCACCCTTAGTTATGTTAAGAAATAATGCCAGAGGATCTAAGATGAGGAACTATTCATATATTAAAGCCTTTGGTTTTTACTGCTAAATTGTCTGATGGGAAAAAAAAAAGCAGTATGAAATTACATTCTCTTCTATAGTGTTCTGAAGTGAGTGGGGCAGAGTAACTCCTGGCTGTATAAAATACTGTTGGCACATGTAATCAATATCCATTGGTACATTATGCATGTATAAATACATACATACATACATACATTAACATAGATACATAATGCTAAAACTTTATCCATTGGTACATTATGCATGTATAAATACATACATACATACATACATACATTAACATAGATATATAATGCTAAAAACTTTTGTCTTTTACTTGTATTCATGCCTCACCTCCAAAAGAAGTTTCTGGCATGACTGTTTAACTAATAATATAAATATAAAATAAAATAGACTGAAACCTACATAAAGGGACAGTCTAAACTGAGCAGGCATACAGAGCAGACTCACTAAGGCTCTATACTAGAGGCATGCTCCTCTGTCTCAGATTTCCAGTGGCAGACAGAGCAGGAAAAGACTCGGGGCTTTAGAGTCTTCAAAAGGAGGGGATGAATTACATTACTGGCATTTGAAGGAATTTATTGCGAGGGCATATCACAAAGCTTTTAGATATTGTTACCATGATTGTCTTTAGACAAGAAAATCAGAGCGCTGACAGCTATGCTCATACAATTTTGACTTACAGAAAGGAAAAATTCTTTAACCCATTTCTCCTTGTCTTTGGGTTTTAAGAGACCACTGACCAAGAATTTGAGGGGGCATAGCAATGACAAAATGACCAACTTTTCATTTTGTTATATCAAGATATATCTTGATTTTTTACGTCTTATTCATGGTAGATGAAGAAGGGAACAGACATTATACATTATATAATGACAATTTCATCAATAAACATATTCTATCCTAACTCCCCACTAAATCCTTCTAGAAAGTTCTAATATCAAAGTAAAAGTTAGAAATCCCCACTCACCAGACAAGCAGTTGTGACTGTACACACATACATCTGTGTCTCCAGGGATTCCTCTAGCTATGGAGCCGTAAAATCTTTTCTGTCACCTGGCACCACTCCAAGGACTGGTGTTGGGAAATACACTGATTAAGGAAACAGAGGCCAAGAAAACTTAGCTATGCTGCCCCGAACTACTCAGCTAATTGGTGGCACAGCTGTGATGAGAATCACAGACACCTAGCTCCTAACTCCCCATACAAGAATAGGAGCTTTAGATTTGAAGGGAAGAAAGCAGAGAGTCAGACATCCAAATGTCATGTAAAATGGCCAGAAAGAGAAGAGGGTGTCCATCTAGGACAGAGAGTTGGCACTTGGGCATGGAGAGGCTGCAAAGGGGAGAGCTTGTTGATGTGGTTAGTCACAGGCTGCAGTGACTGAGGGACTGTGGGGCAGGAGGGTCTGAGAGATGGTTGAGTAGAATGGAACTCAAGAACGGTTAAGAAATGGACAACCGCCTTTAATTCCAGCACTCAGGAGGCAGAGGCAGGCGGATCTCTGTGAGTTCGAGGCCAGCCTGGTCTCCAGAGCGAGTGCCAGGATAGGCTCCAAAGCAATACAGAGAAACCCTGTCTCGAAAAACCAAAAAAATCTCTTTTTTAAAGGAAAAGAGGATATAGGAATGAATACTTTACATTGGTATGGATTTTCATTTATTGATACAAATTTAAGGTCAATTTTGTGATATGCATAATCAAATACAGATTATATAGTCAGTCACCTATAATAGTCACAACCTATAGTTAAGTTAGTTAGGTTTTCTAGATATACAGAGATATATTTGAGATGGATATTCTTCAAACTTTTCAAAGACGTACATAATACATGGCATTTTAAATGGTTTAGGGTTTTTCTTGGCAGTGAGACACAACTGCTCCTGGCACACCAATTACGTCAGAAAGGAGGATGGGCATCGAAGAAACTCCTTATGGAGTTTGCTTTCAGGCAAGAAACTGCTCTTGCCTGGACTGTTTGTTGCTGTATAAACTGGACATACAGGACCCACAAGAAAGTGACTGCTGAACTTACAAAATTAAACGGTACTAAAGGGTTCCTGCTGAAATGGAGAAGTGTGCCAGACACACTGTGGCCTATGGGCTGAAGATGGATGCCCCAACGTTACAGGGGAACTGTGGGTGACTGTCCAGGCAGCGAGATGTCTCTGTCAGTTCTAGAG